ATACTTCCGTCTTAATGTTTGCTGTGGAGCAGGTTGGTGTTTTAAAGCAGAAGCAATTCGAGTAGAAGGTTGTAAAGACCTTGGTAATTCTCCAAAGCCGGCGTCTCAGTAGACATTGCCTGTACTCAGACTGGCTGGATAATTGAAGGCTGGTGAAATTTTACAGAGAAAGGGAACTTCTACAGTTCCCCTTTCCAATCCTGTTTGTCATTCCCACCCTCCTGTCCTCTCCCCTCGCTCCCATCCCATTCGGATTCCTGGGCACACCTCGCAGGCGACCATTGTAAAAGGTGGCCAAACACCAACCGGATTGAAGCGAACCTCCAGAAGGCGGGGATGTCTCAGGTGGAGAACAGGAGGTGCTTCTTTATGCAATGGGTGGTGGGAGTGTGGAACAAGCCGATACCCTGGAAACAGATGGATTGTTGCATCAATAATTACTACTAAATACCAAACGGGGCGGTAGGGCTAAATAGCCTCCTCTTGTTTGGAACTTTTTTTTCTTTAAGAGCTCCTGGGATCTGAAGCACAGAGGAGACACAGCTTCCTTGTCTGATATTCATTTGCTGGATGTTGCAGAAGGGGTTAATATTCTGGCCAGCAAGTATATACTCTCAAAAGTGTCCATTGGCCAGCTCTCAGTCCACACATCCCTCACAACAGAGGAAGCTCGCTGCGCCACTTTGTGCAGGAGGGTCAGACCTGCTGTGTCAGAGTCTTGCTATCCGCTGGGACACCAGTGTGCAGAGGGAGATGGGCAGCACTCCAGGCAACCAGATGTGGGACACAGGGGCATGTACAAGCCTTGTTAAGTGCAGGAAACAAGGTTATATATGTGTACAGGGTCTTTCTGCATTATTGTGCTCTTTTCACTCTCTGTTTTATTCCCTGGGCAAGAACACCATTCTCTGGTGATCTTTTGTTCATTTAGTCTTTGAGATCCCGGTTAATCTCCTGGATCTGTATCCTGCGATGCAGGAGGGTGGTCTGTTAGCTTCACCAGTGACAGCGAGAGAGGATCAGACTGGACTGGGCCACCTTGCTCGTACACTCCCCAGAGACTCTGAAGAGTGAACCTTGGGTTTGGAAAGGCTCTTTATAAATAAAAAATATTATTATTAACAGGAAGTGCATGCTTGTGAAAGAATCATGGAGTAGGGTTTGGAGAAGATGGTTCCTTCTGGCCAAACAAGCGATCGGAGACAGCAGTCAGGTATCTTAAGAATGCAGGAAATTCAGAAAGGGTGCAAACGAGAGAGACCGTTAGCAGTTAACTGATCTGTGTCCGCTGCCTGCAGGGACACGCTCCAGCTCCCCTGGAGCTCTGTACGGGATAAAGTTGTTAGAAAGTGGAAGGGTGGGTAGTTAAGTGATCCCTGGATCTCATCCCGCCTGCTCTTGAGAGAAGCCTTGAGCAACATGACTGAGCAGCATGTTCCACAAACCCACCACCGTTTGTGGTTTTCAGTGCACTTCCCCAGACTTTCCACCCACTGGTTCGTGCTTCACTATTTGTTCCGAAAGGAAGTTTGGGTCCCGGTATTAACTAGATGAAAATAAGAAACCTCATAACACAGGGGAACAAGAACGTCATAGTTATTTATTACGTAGCCATCTGTGCCCCTATATGCAAATACACAGATATATTGGTGAAAAAACTTTTTTTTTTGGTTGAATAATTTTTAAAATAAATTAATCGGGACCGTTTGCTGGGGACAAAGAGGGATTTTGCAGCCGTTCGGAAAGTAACTGAAACGCCAGGCTGGTTTCTGCTGGGGGATTCTGAGCGTGGCGCCGCGCCAACGTCACTCCAACGCGCCCAGAACAAAGTCCGGCACCAGCATATCAGTTGTTTGCTGTTTAACCAGTTCGGTATTAATGCGGGTGCTTTGTGTACGTGTATATAATCGACACAGTGGTCAGCAAACCAGTGCCTTCTGGTTTCTGCAGTGTGTAAGAGCTTGTATCTGACACGTGATACGGTAAAACCTCTTTTAGACTGCACGAGCTGCAGTCAGTGAATGGCGAATGGTTAAAATATTTGCAAGCGGCATATCGGCTTTTTACGCACAAAAGTGACCCCTGAGGTCTTTACAGGAGGGCGTAACTGTGGTCTAAGTGTTAACAAATCCCTTAAACGGAACTGAAACTGATTTCCCAGCGTGAGTAAGGGTTTTTCTCGGATATCGGGATGACACCATGAACAGAGCTGTTCTAGAAAGTTGTGTACCTTCTGTGCGGCTGCAAACATCCTGAAACCTTCTTGGTTTTGAGCTTGAGTCTCACGCCCAACACGGGAACCGACATGTTCCACGTGCTGGAAGGGAGGCGGCTTCTGTCGCGCGGACCGTTGCACGCACGCACCGCGAAGCTTTAAACAAAACGTCGCCGGTTGCAATTACACACCAGTGTTCAGCAAGCAGGAAATCAGCGGCGAATTCAGTCAGGAGACAGTGACGCTGCACAGACACGCGCATCCACACACACGCCCTGGAAGGCTTGGACAGTCATCTTGTGAGGGAGGGTTGTTCCCAGTTACCCGAAGTCATGAAGGAGGCTCTACAGCCAGGTTCAACGTTGTGAACCTTTTACTTCTACGTCTCCAGTCAAGTCAGCTGTGTCAGTGTGTGAATTCAGGGGCAGTGTCTCCAGTGCAGTCAGTGTGTGAATTCAGGGGCAGTGTGAGAAGAGAGGGACAACATTGTCTCCAGTCCAGTCAGTGTGTGAATTCAGGGGGGTGTGGGCTGACTTCTCTCGCAGCCATAGGGGTTGAAGCTAAAATAGAAAAACACATCCTGTTGCGCAGCAATCTGATACATTTCTAGTTTTAGGAGCAGATGGGCTCATGTTTAGAAGTCAGCAGCTGTAGATCCTGCTTCTGGCCTCACTGCTAGTATATACAGAACTGCAATTAGCAGAACTGACACCGAAAAGAAAAAACAACATTGCTGTTCTGCCCAGTCAGTGGACTTTTCCCAGCGTCTTGTAAAGAAAGAATTGTGAGGCTGCCTGTGGGGAACGTGATTCCTGGAAGAGCGGAGGTGTGTGACTCAGGCCAGTTACTGGTGTCAATCAAGGGGGAAAGCAGAGCCTCCTGATTGGCCCCCTCTCCTTGTTTATTCAGGGAGACGTACCAGGTGGCTGAGCAGAGTCCACAATATAACAGAATCAGTGTATGTGACTTCTCCTTGCCAGCAATAAACAAGTTTATAGGCTCATTATCTGGTTGGTTGGTCCCACCTCCACCATAAGGATGTTGTCTCTCAGCTGTGGGGCCTCTGGACTCATCACTGCATCACTGGTTCCTGGGAGTGTGGAACCAGCAGCCCAGCCATTTTGTTCAAGCGCACACCTTGGCTTCTCTCAGGAAACGTCCACGTGAGTTCCTGCCATCGGGACAGTAGGCACTTCTGTACACAGAGGGTGGTGGTGGTGTGGAGCAGGCCGCCCAGCAATGTGATTGAAGCCGATACCCTGGTTTCTTTCAAGAAACCATTGGATGAGATCAAATAACTACTCACTACCAAACGGTCTCGGTGGGCCAAGCTGTGTCCTCTCATCTGTAGCTCTTTGCCTGTCTTGTCTAATTCTGTGTGTGTGGAGCTCAGGTCCAGGGGGCCTGGGACTGGGAGGTGTGTCTGTGAGAGCTGAGCTGGCTCTTGCTGGGGTCAGACACTGGCTCTAGCACAGGCCTGGTTTGTTTTTCTTTGAGGAGTCCTTTGTTAGGAAACTTGGGAGGCAGGGAGGCGGGAGGCTGTTTTGTTCTGGCTGGTTTGTGCAGCTCTGCTGGGAATGCAAACTTTCCCAGCTGTTTTGCTGCACCACTCAAAGGAATTCTTACGCCTGAGCCGGATGGGTGCGGGGTCCTGGGTGTGGGGCGGAGGCTCAGGGGTAAGCGGACCTGACGCGCACTGCCGCCCAGGTGACGCGCTGCACAGCTGCTTCCCCAGGGACACGCTTGGATGAGAGCTTGAAAAGGGGAAGCAATGAGAAAGGGGAACAAACAGTAAGATGTATAAAAAGCATGCAATTCAAATGAAGGGGTGTAACGTGTTACTGGCATTTTCTGAATAATTTTGGCCACCGATTCCTAAAAGCATATTGCAGTTCTGGAACCCATCCAGAAGAGCAACCAGACACATTCTGGGGCTGAAGGGAGGGGAGTGTCCCACACTGACAGGCCGAAGGAACTGAGTCTCTTTAGTCTGAAGGGAGTGTCCAAAACTGAAAGGCTGGAGGAACTGAGTCTCTTCAGTCTGAAGGGAGTGTCCCACACTGACAGGCTGGAGGAACTGAGTCTCTTTTGCCCAATCACAATGGGGCAAGAACTGTTCTTATTGCCAAGAAAGCAGGATGTTCCCTTTCTCCAGGGACAGGAGGAGCCAGAGTCAAACCCCTAGTTTAGCTGGACTGGTAAAGAGTGGGGCTCACTCATGGTGGGGGTGGGGTGGGGGGACACTAGGAAGACTTTGAAACCCTGGACAAATCAGAAGAAACAACAGAGGGCCTCAGAGGCTTCACATCCTCTCCAGACGGCGCCAGATGAAGCCCCAGGTACCCACAGAGCAGGAGGAACAGCCAACCACTGGGAACCAGAAAAGCTGGCTGTATTTAAATACGAAGAGACATACAAGTCTGCAAGTATATATAAACACTTGGTGAGAGTTAGTGGCTGCATCCAGCCTTTATTTGTGGACTGACAGCAACATTTCTATAGGCAGTATTGCATTTAGATATTCATAGCCTTGATCTAAATGCAAGGACAGGCATTCCTGAAGGTTAGTAGGAGGTTTATCTCCCAAACAGATCATGTTTATTATGTCTGCAGAGTCATTGTACTTAAATATCTTTTTACTGCTCATTTTTAGTTTAAATTACAGGCTGCATAGTTCTGAAACTCTCTCATACTTAATCCCACGATTCTGCTCTAAAACTGAAGCACAATACTGAGTGACATGCCCAGATAGATAGCTACATACATATTTCTCATTTCCTGCACTGCACAGATGTCGGGCAGCCTGGGTACTACATGCCTGTGATGCCTGGGGGTGTTTTTTTTCTGAAACATTCCCAGGCAGTTTGAGAAAACCTCTTTGGTAAATATTTGAACATGCTGGAGGGTGTGGGTGATTTCAACCAGCAGGAGAACGAGAAAGCGGGATTTTTGCAAGTCCAGCTGTACGACCAGTTTAAGCTGTGAAATGCAAAAAAATATATTTTCTGGGCCTCTGTCTTGTGGAAGAAACGGCAGTCTAGTGAGTGTCCGAATCTTCGGACGAAAATGTGGGTTTGAGCCCCATCTCTGTACGCTACTGGTGTTTCCTTGAGAGGGGCACTGCGCCCTAGTAACTTCAGTACACACAGCCTGTGTAAGTGGGGACACATCTGGATTCCAGCATGGCTGGCTGTTTGGACCCCAGCCAGTGTGTAGTACTATACAGAACCCAGCTCACAGCCCCTCGGGGTAGTCAGTGGTGTTACTGTGTTCCGGTGGGGCCGACAGACCTTTGTCAGCCCTGTCCTCCATTTTGTTGGTTTCTGCTGGAATGGCCTCTCTCAGCTTGGCAGCAGGGGGAACTGGGAAGCCTCCGTGTTTGTGTTAGGAAAGCGCGGACAATGCTCTTGCTGGCTAAGCAGGCACATGGATAACTGGAGCCAGACATAAAAGGGGGAGGAGAAGGAGGAGGTGGAGCAGGGATGGGGGATGGGGGATGGGGGCGGGGGTTGGGGGCCATGGTAGGGCTCGGAAATCCGAAACCACAGAGAGGCCCCTTTCAGGGGAGAATAATGGCAAAACACTGGAATCAAAAGAGGAGCACTGAGGTTGTCTTGTTTGTGTGTGTGTGCATGCATGTGAGCAGGGGAGAGGGGCAGAGTTATTAATCCAATTAATCCAACTCCTTGAGCGCGTGCTTGAAATCCCACAGGCCCCTGCCACGGCACAGGTGTGTGCTGTGAAAGTAAGCCATGCGTCTCACTAGAGGGGGGTTGCTGGAGCTCAAGGGGCCGCGCTCCCCATCAGTGCAGTCAGGCTGCGTGATTGACGTGTCAGAGTCACAGGGCAGCAGAGCAGTCAGCAGTAGAGGAACAGATAGAGCTCAGAAAGCCTCTTCCATGACATCTGTCCTCTCGTTCTTGCTGTGCAGACCCGTGAAGCCAACCACCAGGGCAACCAGGAAGCTGCGCAGAGGAACTCCAGACTGGCGCGGATCCTCAACCACACCGCCCTGGGCATCGGCATCGCCATCATCATCCTGTACATCATCTACTTCACCGTCATCGTCGCCCACTGAGCTGCTGCAGCGCTGCCCTCCCCTCCGCCCTCTTTCTCATTTCAGTAGTCCTGCTTCCCTCCTCGTCCCGTAATCCCCGATTCTCCCCTCCGACCCGGCTCAGCAGCTCAGCTCCGCTCCAGCGCCCCCTACTGGCTGCAGTAGGGCACTGGTTTGGCCCTGTGCCCTGGCTCTCGCGCGGACCGGGCCGGTAGGGCTGTGATGGTAGATGATAGAGTCTTCCCTTGGTGCTACACACAGGGGGTGGCTGTCAGTGAATTCTGCTGCGTCTGCACTGGGGTCTGGGGGAGTTTGTCAGTATCCTGACCCTAATGCCCAGCCTCATGCTGCACCTCGTGCCTTTACTGTCTAAAATCGGCTCCCTCTGGGGTCGCATTCCTTTTTTGATTTTGTTCCCACCTTTAGCTGTGCTGTGCTCAGGATTGATTGCCTCACGAGTCAAGTGTGTTGTATCCCAGGGCGGCTTCCTGCCGGGAGCGGGTTGGGGATCAGTCTCGGGGTCACTGGCGGCGCTGTGGCCCCTGTCAGAGCCGTCAGGGGGCCCAGAGCTGCCGAGGACCTCCACTTCCAGGACTTTTTGCTGTTATTTTGGCTGCAAAACTCTCCCAAGTGCCTGTCCTGGAGGAATCGTGGTAAAAAAAAGATCTCCTGAGATTACTGTGAAAAGTGTAACCCGAGTGACAGACGCAATTAAGCATTTCGCAATGTTTTTAGGGCAAAGACCTCACTGACCACGATTGAACTGTGAGCACCTGACTCTCTCAAGTGCTGCGCCTGCAATTGCAGGACAGAGCGACTGTGCTGTAGTGCTGCAATCAGCACAGCCCTAATTCGCTTCATTCTGATCATAAAAAACAAAGAGTTGGACAGGAACGCGGTGGTGTAACTCTGAAAGCGCGTGGCCTCCCCAGTCTTAGTGATGGTGTGAGACTGAAGTCTGCTCTACTGCATTCCTGTTCCACAGTCAGAGTGCCCACGGATTTCCACAGTAATCTCAGCAGATATTTTTGACCCGTTTTATTTGAAAAAGGTTTTTGCGCTATTGTGCTTTACTAAAGGGATGAAGATGTTAATATTATCATTGTGATAATTTATAAGCCAAAGCAACTCTTTCTCCCTCATTTTACACAAAAGCTTGAAGTGGACTCTGATATGACATTCCACAACAGCTGATGAAACTGTCCCAGTATGGGTTTCCAGCCTTGGTCCTGGCTAGTCTGAGGGGTCCCCTCTCATCTGTGAGCTATTGAGAAATAATTCAGTTCAACTCCTTGCCTTAAGGGCAGAACTTAAATCTTAGTCTTAAATCCCCTCTGAATGGCTTCCTTCCTCGACAGCCTTAGAATTGGTAATTTAACGGAGGCCTCTACAAACCCCGCTGGACTGGGGCTCTCTGGGACCAGGGCTGGGGACCCCCTGTAGTCTGGAGGTCAGAGGTGTTTCAGCTGAGTCCCTGCAGAAACACCCGCAGGAGTCTGCGCGTATTTGGTGTGAAGCCGACGGCACATTGCTACTTGTACAAAATTGCATTGGAATTGCACTTACTGGCAGTGCTGTTGCTACATTTTAGATTCAAAGTGGTTCAGGCTTTCAAACAGTGTTTGGATGTTTGCCTCCCTTTCCTCCACACTTTGCATCTTTTTGGGTTTTGCGACTCAGTACGATTGTGATAGCGGAGCAAAGCGTCACCCTGTACCGTTAAGAGAGCTTACCGCACAGTTACATACCGTGAATGTAGCGTCGCAATTGTGTTAAGTGAGCCTGGTAATACTGCAGGAGGAAACTGAAAAGAACGCGTCTGGTAAAACAGAGGGCCGCTAAACCAGAAAACCAAATTCTCGCACGTCTGCCTGAGGGTACGAACACGATCAGAGCTCACGACCGCCCGGAGGTACGAGCCCTGCCCAGCGTGTGCTGCTGTGTACAAACGGGACCGGTGTTCGAAAGCGCTGACACCAGAAACCGGTCGGAGCAGAGGCGTGTGTCTTTACGAACACGGCCTATCTAGGCCAGGCGGTAGCTGATCCGAGTGTCTCATCCATTCCTTGAAAAGAAGCCAAGCTCCCTCGAGTCTCTGTGTGAAAGGGTTCGTGTGAATGTCGCTCCCGTTTCCAAGGTAATAAAACTGCTTTTGTGTCCTCCGTTTTCTTGGGACAGACCAGCGTAATGTCACCAGGCTGGCGCAAAGATGTTTTTTGCTATCGATATGGGGGTTTATATGAGGGTAGACGATCTGGGTTCCAGGTAACGCAGCCCCGCTTTATAACTGACCGCGATACTGCGCTTCATGCCGCCGGCGTCTTGGACAACTGATTGAATTTCCAGTATCTACGCAGTAATCGAATTAATCATGAATGATGCGGTACAGTCTTGGCTCAAATAATATTCTGCTGGTCATAAACCCTTTAGCGTAATTACCCCGAAAACCCAGTGCACGCAGCCGGTTATTATACATTAGATTTAATTTTGTTTGTTTTATTCGATGCGATGCGGATGAAACGTGATGCAATATCATTACGAATGATGTAATATAGATAAACATGTATAAACCTAAAGAGCCAAAGTAAAAAACATACATCAGGGTTCAGAATCCCTTAATGCACATGCACACGTTGTCATGACAGATACGCTGGGGGCAGCGCTGTGGTACAGTATGGCGCAATGTCGTGAAATAGGACTCTGCACCAGACTGAGCTCACCGGGTCGCTTACACGCGGCCCATAAGACCTGCAAACCGAGCTGGGTCGAACGGGACGCGAACAGTAGACGGGGAGCGAAAGCAGGAAACCACTTCATGGAAATAGCAAATACCACTTTCATAAAATAAATAAACTAGGCGGCCACTAATATAAATAACTTCAAAGGGAGCAACTTGTGAAAGAGCTTGCGCTGAAGAGGATTCCTCTTGTGCGAGGATCTTGTCCTGGCGTGGATCCACAGGGGTGAATATGTTGCCTGCCTGTTTCTTAATAACTTTTGAAAAATAGAGATTCTGTATATGGTAGATCTGTATGTATACAAATATATCATAGTTAACGCCATTTACCTGTTGTATTTTCCAGACGTCTACTGCTGTCTCTAAGTCTAGCCTCCTATATTCTTGTGTCTGAGACCTGTCATTTCAGTCCACAACTGGAATTGTTAACCAAATACGGCATTTTACAAATAAACGCTATGAGACAAAAACCCAAGAGCGTGTGCTGCCTGCTTATTGATCCAGTCCTGCTGTACACTGGAGAATTGAGACACGGCTGGTCAGTATAGGCTTAATTGAGTTCTGCAGAGCGACAGATTACAACAGGAACCCTATGGAAACCCGTTTCCACCGGGGACTAAAAAACGCGCTATGGTATCTCGCAATTGCGAATTTGTATCTCAGAATTACGTTTTGAAAACACCATTTTGACGTCACTTCTGGCGCCAGCAATGAACGTAGCCCAGTGGCGTTACACCTCATTGTGTCTCCTTTTGGAAGGCTATGTTTAGGAATATAAATTGGAAATGAGTTTGGACATTTGCTGACAGACTCTGTCTTACAAATAAAGTTAAAGAGATGTCATTTAAGATCGTTCATAGATTTAATCCTGTTAAATTGACACTTTCTAGATTTAAACATGAACAAGATGACTTATGAGTGTTTTGTAATAATGAGAATGACAAGACAAGTCTTCAGGTTTATAGATCCTATGATCCTGTACGATTCATGAATATAGTGTAACGGACCGGCCGACATACAGGTTGTACGATCTGGTTGCAGTGTGGCGACGGCACCGCCCTCCTCTGCGCATAACAGGGATGCTGGCCGCCGGGGCTAAAGAAGATCTTCTATAGTTCAGCTGGCAAGACTCAGGTTCGAGCCCATGCAGTGAGGCACGAACTAGGGTGGGAGCGGCGAGGGCACAAGCCCTAGAACCCGAATCCGTTACAACAGCGAAAGGACAGACCATGAAATGTGCGGTATTTCGAAGTCGAAAATGCAGATCAAAAGTCGTAATTCTGAGATACAATGTCGCAAGTGCGAGATACCATAGCGCGTTTTCTTTTTCTCCCTGCAGAAACGGGCTTCCTTAACTATGTCAGAAACATGTCCTCTTATGTGCACAAGTGGAGGGGGAGAACTACAGGCCGTAACAGCCCCCGCTAGCAAGCCTGCACTCTGGCCACTCTTCCAGGGCAGGGTGGCGGGGAGCTGGAGCCTGCCCCAGCAAGGCGGGGGACACCGTGGACAGGACGCCGGTCCGTCGCAGAGCTCACGCTCGCACCAGGACGAATTCTCCCAGAAACCGCCAGAATTAAACTGGCAGGATAATCCTGGTCTGTGGGAGGAACCCGACGCGAATGCCATGAGAACATGCAAACTCCCAGCAGACAGACACCCAGGGCCCCAGAGCCGTGAGGCAGCCACGCCCCCCACTGCGCCCCCGTGACGCCCTGTCCTGCTGTTCAACGGACTAAACTCATGGCAGGTGTGAGTGTGGCGCTGGAACACGAGGTCCTGAGCAGCAGGGGCAGGGCGCTTCTGCAGGCGCGTGTCGTAGAGCCGAGAACAAAAGAAAATTTAAAAACCGTTGTTCTGCCCCTTGTATTCTCTGCATCAACTCGAGTCACATCGGGGAAACTGCGCACTTTCATTTCAGTTTCGTTTCTCAGGAAAAGACTTGGCTAGTTGTATCTTTCAGTTTCGTGAATGCCCTCCGGGTTGTAGAAAGAGGATATTAGATTGAGAAAACGTAACTGGAGTCAGACGGGTGAGCCTTTATTGTACAGCATGTAATATCCTGTTATAAGGCTGAAACAAGGTGTCTGGGGTATACAATTCAGATGATACAATGATAGATGATACAGGTCAGGGCAGCATAGTGTCACATGGGACCCTGGCTTCAGTTCCTGGGCTGCTGTCTGTGTGGAGTCTGTATGTTCTCCTTGGTTAACTGGCCCTGGGAGACGATGGGTGTTGGGATGTAGTTCAGAGGAGGGACACTCAACACAGGGGCGGTGCAGTGGGAGAGCGACAGAGCCATACGGTGAGCACACGGCGATGCTGAAATAGAGACGGGGCACATAAACAGGGCAGCCGGAAGGCAGGCGCTGTGCCAGAGCTGTTGACCACACATGTGAAACAGGGGAGGTGTACAGGTCAGAAACGGACAGGCAGCAGGCAGGGCAGACTGGAGCAACGCGGGGCGCAGCAATCTGACATCTGAACAGAGGAGCGCAGTGCGCTGTTCAGAAGGATGTTTGTTTCTGGACTCAGAGCGGAATTTTCGGGCTTCCCGTAACGCAGCTGACCGAGAGAGGTGGGTGGTGGGAGGGGCAGAGCCAGAAATTACTCTCGCGCCGACCGCTTTCAGCACAAACCCGGGGGCCAATCAGGACTCTCCACGACCCTCCCCCCCCCCTCTCGGGGCTCCGCGTGAGTGGGCACGCACAGGATTTCGCAATCTGTGGCTACATCCCCCTCTTCAGGGCAGCAGACCTCACACAGGCCGGGCACCAGCGCTAAAGCACATTCACGTGTTGTGAGGCGCAATAGAAACATCATTCAAAACAAAAGGCAGTAGTGTAATGTCTAGCGACACCCCTCTGCCCAGCACACAGATGAAATAAAGGAGGTGTTAATGGCAGTTTGTCTCGGGCTCTCCAGCGCCCTGCTGAGTCTGCAGCTGTTCGCGATTCGGACGTCCGAGTCTCAGCTGTTCACCCACAGGACCCGAGAAAAACATCGGTCACACCCCCCCCAGCTCCCCTCACGAAGCACTGGAGGTCCCTCTCCGATCGCCCCGTGACCTCATCCTTCACCCAGCTGCATGTTCCGCGTTCACCTGGGGGATGAAGTTGTATTTTTCTATTAAATATATATCTCTAGGTGGGTAACTAGAGAAACTCATTCACCGCCGTTCATCTTGTTTTTCAGAGAAAACAGTAACCGAGAGCCGACAGCTGACTGTCTCTCCGACACGGGGAACCCCAGACACGACCCGAGTCGCACGTGCCCCAGTTCACACGGTGCTTCTTTGAGCTGAGCTCAACACAACGCGGTATTGAATTTTGCTTTTAAGACTCGGGCTGTATTTCTGGAGCGCTGATTAGTATGAGCGCCTCCACTGCGCAGCTGCGCGGTGCGGTTCGGACTGTAAGCGGAACAGCAGAACCGGGCGCTCCGAGCCCGACCTTCAAGCCGAGCTCCACCCGCCGGGGGGCGCGGTCACCCCTTTCCAAACCTCCAGAAATCCTAAGAATGCGAAACAAAAAAAACCCTCCTGTTTTCCAAAAGCAGCCTTCGCAGTTAATAATCCCTCACCCTCCATACTCCAGCACACACACGGAACTGGTGAACGAGTGGAACCTACATGGAGGAGCATTTAAAATACAGAACAGGAGGCGTGCGTCTTTACGCAAAGGGAGGTGGGAGTGTGGAGCAGTCACCCCAGTCACGTTGTGAAAGGCGATTCCCCGGCTTCTTTCAAGAAACGCCTAGATGAGATGCTGGAATCGATTAGCTAGTAATGGTCTCCTTTTCCTGTATCTTCTCCTGATGCCTTTCAACAAGCCGCTTTCATAGACTACATGTCCCTCGGGTTTCACGAGCCGAGTCTGTAGCAGAGCATGTGCGTGTTAGTGAGTCGGACTTCGCGGCTCTCAGTATGTAGGTCAGCGTGGGTGTCTAGACCACAGTTGTGGGACAGCCGTCTTCCAGAGGAAGATGTTTTTTCAGTTCTTGTACTGTTTTAGAAGTGACAGTCATCACAGGACCGCAAGCGAGTGGCGACCAACCTTGCACACCAGGAGCGCTGTCTAGTTTGAAAGATCTTCCGTTTTCAGAGGAGCAGAAGGCTGCGGTCTTCTGAAAGCCCACATAAGGGGTTTCATGATGTGAAATGAAGGCACCGAGCTTACAGTACAAAGAAATTCGTGCCACTGACAAAAATAGTTGTGTTGGAGTTCAGTGAGAACTTAACCTTGAGCAAAATTTCACACGTGAAAAAAAAAGAACGAACGTTATAGGAGAGCTTTCACTAGTCTATTGACTCAGGCTCTCAGACACTCAGTCGTGCTTCTTTGTGATCCATGTGTCCAGCCGAACTCTTAATTAAATAGGCCTAATAATGCATTAGAATGAGATATTCCAAAACCTTGGGCATGGCTTGTCTGTTTTGGGAAGTGGTAGGAGGATACCTTAGGAATCCACGTGGAGGGGCGCATGATATCTAGAACAACATGCGTGATGCAGTCCGAGGCCTCAGCCCAGACAGCAGTTAAGGAGCGTCCAGCTGAGCCAGCGGGCTTTCTGTGCTCAGCGCTGGAGTGAGGGACAGTAGAAGATGCAGCTGGGATCCTCGGGGTGAGGCGTGACTCTGAACACGCGCGCTGTGTGTAACTCTGAACACGCCTGCTGTGTGTAACTCTGAACACGTGCGCTGTGCTCTGTGGGTGTGTTTCCTGCCACTGCCGAGGAGAAACGAAACCCAGCGCAGAACAGCTCCAGGTGCACACTGAGACACGAGACACTCCCAGACCTGCCAGGCTCCAGGCATCCAGGGGCAGAGACATGACTGACCTCATTGTGCTCTCGCCACTTTCCAGCTGCACGGGGAAAGGCAGACGAAACACTGCTTGTTCGTTTCCTGTTTTTATTGCTTCCTCAGCATAGAAACAAAACAACTGGAGAGCAGCCCTTGTTAACACATCACTGGGGTCTGGAGGCATTCGGCCTTTGGTACTTGAGGAGACAAGAAGTCACCCACAGACTGGCCGGCTGATTGCCTTCACAGAAAGGACAACACAGCAGAAACCTGCACAGGAAAGGCTAGAATTGACAGGAGGCCATTTGGACCATCTAACTTGTTTGGTAGTTAGTAGCCAACTGAACTGCTGATCTCACCCAGCTGTTTCTTGACTGAAGACCGAGTATCGGCTTCCATGACTTGACTCTGTACTTGTTTCCTACTCCAACAACCCTCTGGGTAAAGAAGTGCTTCCTGTTCTGGGCTGTTCTGTCCTGCTGGGTTGACTTTGTTGATGCCTTCAAGAATTTCGAGCACTAGGGCTCCTTGTACCAGGTTACCTTGTAACTCTCTGTTTCTCTGTTCATGACTAAAGATAATCAGTTGCAATAACATGACTGGACCTGAATCACTGGACCAGCTGTGTAACAAGTCTTTCACTTTAAGTTCTGAACCAGAATCTCCTC